CACACACACATGCACCTTAGCCCTCTCTTCCATACCCAGGTGAGCTTTTAATTTACACATACCAGTCTCATTTGCTTTTTGGGAGACCTTGTAAGACAGACCCTGTAAGATAGGCAATAACCTATTAAAAGGGTTAATAACCCTTTTATAAACAAGGTTGAGAGAAGCAAAGTGATGGGTCCACTGGTCATACAGCTAACATTGTCCACTATTGTATCCTCAGGTTTGAGGACAGTTGCATTTTAGTTTTATTATGTTGAATCTTTCTGTCCAAGCCTTGATTTTGCTGATAAAGACACCAATGGTCTGATCAGTTATCCAACTGTACTTTTCACTAAGAGGTCCTGGAGTCAATTACAGGGGTTTCATGAATCCAAATAGACACCAGACTATCATAGACTGAGTAAATCTTATGTTTTCTACATGTGTTTTCAAATGTATGAAGATGGTATTGTTATTAATAAAAAATTACCAGTTAATTTAAAATTATCGGGACTATACTTTAAAAATATATTTAGAATTCTTTTATCTGTAGTGTATTTTCTAACTAAATGACGTTAGTATATACAGCCAGTACTGAGTCTGTGGAAAAGCTGGGTGCCTCTCACTTGGAGAATGAATATTTATAAGACTAATTAGCCAAACTTCTAGCCCAGAGGTGCACTGAGGCCTGTTACGAGGACTTTGGTAATGCTTAGTAATTGAAAAATACATGACCACAAGTAAGAATTATAAACAAGACAGAAAAAATAAAATCCTTACAAAATTTTAGCCAACACCTACAGAGATGTGCCAGCCAACGTTCAAGATCCTTTACATGTACTGACTCATTTTGTTTAATCCTCACAAGAACCTCATGAAGTAGTTACCATTATTATCTCCCATTTTATAGGTGAGGCGACTGAAGCACAGAAGGGCTTCTCCTCAGAAACTCTCCAGAGAATAAAGTGTTTAAGGACCTTGAGAAAGTAAGGTAACTGTCTGAAAACCTGGGCCTCTCTCTGGATTTGGGGGGGAAATACCAATGCTTTAAAATAAAAATCAAAAGAAATATCACCTACTTTATTCTCTTCAGAATGCATCCTGAATATATATCTATGGTGGTGGCGGTGGCCTTGAGGATGAGATTGCGGGCTCTGGTTCTCCATCCCAGAGGCCATAGCTGAACTCAGTTTAGTTTAGCCCCACAGTGGTAGGTAGGGCTCATCAGCTGGAACCCCTTCACTAGCACAAGAGAACCGTAGTTACTGGTTATGGGCTCCTCCTGGGGATGGTGTTTACTAGGAAGGAAGTTACAGAGTGAGGAAGGCAGGTAGAGGTGATAGAGTTTGGTATTTTAACTTCCGAGAGAGGCAATTAGTAATGGTGAGATGAATCCTCCTAAGAAACCTCTTTGATCACTTCTTTCTCCTGCTCAAACATCTGTATACATTTGCTGATGTTGGGATTAATAACAATAATTGTTATAGTAATAATTGCTCCTACTTATTGAGCATCTCTTTTTAAATTTTAACTATTACTTTTATTTTGTTTTTTATTTTTGGGCTCTGTATCCTTTTTTAGAGCACCTAACTATTTGCCTGGTCTTTTGCCAAGTGGTTTACATGCATTGCCTAATTTAATCTTTACAGCCACCCTTTAATATAGGTTCCATTATTATCAACCTTATTTTATACATAAAGGAAGCTGAGTCTTGGAGAAGTTAAATAACTTCCAGGGTCGATTAGGGAGTAAGTAGTAGGACTGCAACCCAGTGCACGCTTTGGAAAAGCTTGATATTCAAGGCCCTCAATAATCTTCCTTTTTTTTATTTCTGCTCAAGTTAAAATTATGTTTGCCTTCTTCTAAACCTGTTTATTCTTTCCCTGGTCTGGACTGAACTGCCCCTTCTTTCTAGCTTGGCCAGAGCTTGCTTTCAAGCCAAGGCTGTATCTTCCAGCTTAAATGACATTTCTTAACTTATTCTCTACCATGCCCACCTCAACTTAAAAACAACTTTACTGAGGTATAATTGGCATACAATAAACTGCACATGATTAAAGTATAATTTGCTAAATTTTGACGTATATCTATGAAAGCATCACTGCAATCAAAATAATGAACACATTCATCACACCACCACCCCTGTCCCAGAGTTTCCTATTGTTTTTTCATAATTCTTCCCACTTGGGCCACTCTTCACCAGTACCCTCCTTTGCTCCCATCCCTGCCCTCTGGAAACCACTGGTTTGCTTTATCTGATTATAGATAGTTTGCGTTTTCTAGAATTTTATATAAGTGAACTCATACACTGTGTATCATTTGTATGGGCTTCTTTCACTCAGCAGAATTATTTTGAGTCACTCATGCTGTTATATGTATCAGTTCATTCCATTTTATTGCTGAGTAGTAGTCACACTACAACTGTTAATCCATTCACTTGTTCATAGATACTTGGGTTGTTTCCAGTCCTTCTTTCACTTTTTAATGCTCTCCAAATTTGTGTCATGGTAGTTCCACAGATGAACATGATAAACTCTGTGCCCTCGATTGCAAAGGAACTCAGATGGGGGATGAAACGTACAC